AGAGAGAGAGAGAGAGAGAGAGAGAGAGAGAGAAACATAGAGAGTGAGAGAGCGAGAGAGAGAGTGAGAGAGAAACATAGAGAGTGAAAGAGCGAGATAGAGAGAGAGAGAGAGAGAGATAGTGGCATTAATTACAGATGGACTAGAGAGGGTGCGGGGTCTTCACTTCCATACACAGGTCACCAGGAGAGACGTCAATGTTCCACTTACAGATGTACGACTGAAAGAGGAGATATTATTCTTTCCACAGATGGGTGACTGGGAGGAGATACATTATGTACAGAAGAGTGACTGTAATCAGTGAACACATGTGTGAGGATCCACGCGAGACTCTACGTTCACAAACGAACTGTTCTAGCATTCGCTGGCGTTAGATTGCGTGAAGACTCACTCCTCCTGGTCTGATACGACCTACAAAATGCTGCTCTCCGACGTGCATCAACAAGCAAGAACGCACGATGTTGCTTGGTGCTTGGGTGCAAGCTGCCGACACATACAACAGAGGGTCTGTTGTCAGCAACGCCATAAATAGTTACGACTACCATAAGTTTGCTTCAAACTCCATCTACTATGCAGCGGCGCGCACCTATAGGCTCTAGACCAGGGGTTCTTAACCTGTGATCCATGGACCCCTTTGGGATCCATGGAGAGGTCCGTGGATGGGCTTCCGGGGGTCCGTGAACCCCATTGTACATGCAAAATTTTGTGTTTATGTGCTTAATGTGCATTTTTCTCGGAAGGGGTCCGTAGCTTTTACCAGATTCTCAAAGGGGTCCATGACTCAAAAAAGGTTAAGAACCATTGAGAGACAAGTGGACGATGGACCACTTTTCTCTCTTTAACTGCCAGGTGAAGGAGAGCCCTTACCATTTCTTCGACGCGCAGATCATTCCACCGCCATCCTCCATCGAGTATCGGTTGCACGACTGGATAGTGAAGCCCGCATCCTTGTCGTAGACACGCAGGTAGTGCACGAGCTGCACATAGAACACGGGGGCCATCATAAACAACAACGCTAACGACTTGTCACCATTAGCATCTCTAGTGCGGAACACTGCCAAAAACACATCACGAAACACTATCAAAAATCAAAAATATAATTAGAATGGTACGACAAAATTTGCACCGTCGATCACACTGATTACGTGTTGCTATCCGCATATTTAATGATAAGTCGCCATAATTTATTATAAGTCACCACTACCGAAGACGATATAAGAACGATACATTTGCATCTGCGGGTAGACCCTTGGAGAAATAAGAAGTAACAAGATAGGACCAGAATAGCCTTACGAAATTCTGTGTGCAATCAATTAAACAAGAGCAATCAAAAGTGTTCGATCGCGCTTACAACTGGTTCAGTTAACAGAGACTGCCATTCCGATGCTGGGTGCATTCATAAGAAAACCTTCGCTATTCATCCACACGGTGGCGCTAGTTACGTACATGCATCTTCGTCTGCTGCTGCTGGGCTCGCGTCTTCGTGAGAAAGAACGACCGCGCCCAGTCTCCCTCGAGGATCTTGTTGAGTCGTCTCTCGTAATCCTGGTCCTTGATGAACCCGCGGACGAGTTCTCCCATCTCCTCCCTCTGCCTGCCCTTCAGCGGCCGATGCCTGCAACAGAGATCGCGTGACAGTTACCTCGCTAACGACGCGCATGCTTCAGCGACCAACCACGTCAGTAGGCTAACGCAGCACCATCTCACTTTAGAATCAACCTGTCGAGCTCAGCTACAGGAAGTATCGAGGTCAGCCTACCACGTCGTTAGATACGCGAGGCAAATCAGCTGTTCGACGGTGCTAAGTCGCTTTGATTATGCGAGGTACTGTACGGTAGTCGAACTTTCGTGGGCACTTGATTTTTCGTTTACAGCTCAGAACTTTTTATTTTTCTGTTGTGAACGATGCCTACTCCAAGCCAACAGCTGGCGGCTCCATGAGATAGAAACTTTTATGCGTCGGCAAAACAATGAGGGATTCTTGAAACAGAAAAGTGCTGTATAAATATGTGTGGAGTAAATGTTTTCCGAAAGCTTGGTAGGGATTACGGCAATCATGTGTCATTTAAAGGCTCACAATGCGCATCCAAACGCTAATTACTCCAGTACTAGACTAGCAAATACTTCGTGGCATGCATAATCACACTACCTTATGACAAAATAAACTCTAGTTCCTCCCATTTCACTGCACGTTGTCTTAAAATAGGTATTTTGAAAATACCTCCAATGTTGTTGAAATTCTCCGATGTTGTTGACAGTTTTCCCAATCCCCAAGCAACCGTGCAGCGGTGCTGCGGTACAGCGGTACGGGCGCAGCAATGATAAAAACATGTGACGTCACGTCACCACTTCGAGGCTATTTTGTTTGGCAAACAGTCGGCGTTTGCGCCAGAATGCCAGTTTTCTCACCTCTTTCTTGTGGGTTTTAAGCAAACACGCAGTGAAATGGGAGCAACTAGAGTTTATTTTGTCATAAGGTAGTGTGATTATGCATGACACGAAGTACTTGCTAGTCTAGTACTGGAGAAATTAGCGTTTGGATGCGCATTGTGAGCCTTTAAATCACGTTTTTACAAATATCGTCACACAAATACGAATACAGAAAACATAGAGCACAGCCTCTCTCCTCCCTGTGCTTTATACAGCATCTACTTATCTCGAGTGCATATGAAACAAGACTGGCAGGAATGACACACTACATATCCAAGTTTAAGTGCAAACTTCATTGAACCTGGTTGTACCTAGCATGGCCAGCTAGTTTCAAATTGGTCAGTGCAGATTAGAGACAGATAAATAATATAGTCGGCGATTCTAGCACCGATTCAATATCAGCATGAATACCTAATCATATATATCCACACCAATACCTATATATTTATATTTATTGAATTATTTATTTAGTTATCTAAAGGTATAGAGATACCTATGACTAGTGAGATCTAATACGAGGTGCGATACTTGGAGTTCATCTTGTCATAAACAAATGTTTATTTATTTATAGGTATAACTGAACCCCCCCCCCCTGTACACGCCCCTGCAAGTTCGTCCTCAAACAAATTTCTTCAATCTTATGCACCACTCAGTGACTCCGAAATTCATGTCTCTCCCCCATTGCACTTCCCTGTGCCTTGCCTATCTATATATACACCCTATGTTCACTCCTGGACACATAGCCACGTTAACAACTTACTACAATGACACGATCGTCGACGCTTACGTTCAATTGGCAGTGTAGGTACATATCACTGTTTAAAATACACGAGTACACTAACGCGCAAACAAAAAAGCACACCGAATTATGTTAAATCATGTGATTTGCGGGAGCGGGTTTGCGCTCCACTGCTAGCGTTGGACAAAGCCGTGTAACGTATTATATTTACCAACCATGCGTTGAAATAACAGAATAACGATCCTCAGGTTCCCTCACTACTTCTATGCTGAGTTTTGCTAAGTTTACCTTTCCAAACAGTGGCACCGGTAGGCGTACACATGCTTATACACTATCAAGTAGCTCTAAGTCAAATTTGTAAAGGACCATGTTGTCAATGCATATCATGTAACGCGGTAAGCATTTCCATGTAGCTTTACTAAAGAGCGCACAGAGGGATGTAGGATGTAAGGTTGGCAATACAACTTGCTACTATTGTTGAAAGTCCTTTCAACAAACCATCGGTCATACAACTGACGCTCCACCGATAACAACTTAAACAGTTAAATGCAATAGACCGATTACTTAATTCGACTTCAGAAATTAAGTTCAGTGTGGCAAGACGCGGCACGAGAAAACGTCGAACCCCTGCCATAATCCTTGCAGTATCAGCCTGCGAATCTTTCGATATATAGTCGAGTGAACACTTACAGACAACATTGTGCATGGATCACCATTACGCACAATCGCAACTCCTCTAATATCAGATTCATTCCTATCGGGGAGGAACTTAAAAACCGCTTCGGAATCACCGTCTACATAGTAGTGTAATAAAATAAACATATACATGTATGACGGTGCTGCGTGACAACTCTCGCATCATGTCGACTATCCACACAGACACGCGTGCAGCCAACACAGTGGCAGTAACAACAACACCAACCGTGCGAAGCCTGCCTGTAGCATCCCAGCCTAACCCAACACGTAGCAGTCCACCTGCCAAGTGATTAGTCGAGACTCCTATAGCACACGTAATAGAAAATACTGTAGAAAATCGTGCCCCAGCGTACTGTGAAAGCACTACCATATCTACACACACGTTGTAGAAGTCGTCGTAGTGGTAATAAATGCGTGCTCATGCACCCGTAATGTCTCTGTGTGCACTTCTCTGCAAGGAATAAGTGCTTCGTAATAATTGATCTTCACAAAAATTCAATGCCGACTAGTAACTTACACCAGCTCAACAGCTACTGTCAGTACAATCACCAACATCAACATCAACACCATTATCATCACCATCATCATCATCATCTGCAGTTCTGCACCATCATCATTGTCATCATTATTACATATTACTATCTTCCGTCACGATCTATTAACCGACCTGTATCAACAATCAACACTCAGCGAGATATCTATGCATGCTTCCTTCACACGTTTACCTAACGCATAGCTGATAACTCGGGGGCCAACTCACCACCACGCTAGCAGGACATCGTGCCAGGCCGAATGCTGGTAACAAGAGGAAGAAATCGCACGATAATCTCCACCACGTCTTCCACGAAACCCTGATCTAAGACATCTTCTTGTCGGTCCGGCGCCACGATCGGCTCAATGGCACAGAGGACATTCCAGGGTCGATCGGCACACAGATCACCACCTTGGTGTCCATGACAACTGCCTCGCACACACGCACTGTAAATCTGGCCCGACTCGGTCGTCGTGGAAGCATAAACGGACATCTCGCGCGACTCGCACGCACGGCCGGACGGCCGTCTGTACGAGTGACGATTCATCCACGCCTGGTCGTCTGCGCTCAGCGGAGGGATGCCGAGAGGGACACCGGGAAGCGGAGATGGCTTACGTAGCGTCACGCGACCACGCTGGCCTCGCTCTCGCATTCCCGTCCACGCGCGGGGAGAGGGTGAGGGACGTCGCGTCGCGGCAGGCAAAACTCCGCCGCCGCCGCTGCCACCGCGAATTTCCTAGCGATCGCCCACGTCACGACGGGCACGCCACCGCGGCGCCCGCATCCGCCGCCGCCGCCGTCGCCATCGACGGCAGCTCGATGTCGATGCGGTCGCCGCCGACGATCAGCCGCAGCCGCTTGGTGGCGCCACCGCCACTGCCGACGCCTCGTCGGAGGTCGGGCTCGCTGCTGGAGTCGGAGGGAGACAGGGAGATGCCGTCGCTCGTTTCGCGCTCGGGCCTCTCCTTGCGATTCCGATGCCGCTTGTGCTTCTTCTTCTTGTGCTTCTTGCGCGCCGAGCGCGCCGCGGCGGCGCCCGCCGCGTCGTCGTCGGCGGGGTAGTTCTCGTGGTCGGGGAACGACGTGTAGACGACCTCGTAGAACGCCGCCATGCGCTCGGTCTCGTCCGAGCTGCGCCGCACGCGAATGCGAAGCTTCGGCAGCCGGTCGCCGCCGGCGCCCCCTGCCGGGCACTTCTTCAGCTCGTCGTCGCCGCCGAGGGCCGGCAGCCGGCAGCCGTTGTTGATGCGCAGACTGGCGTTGACGGTGGCGCCGCCGTGCTGCTCCTGCTGCGACGACGCAAGGCTGGGCGGCGGGCATTCGTTGTCTGGCAGCGCCGCGGCCGTCGCGAGACAAGAGAACAGCCCGCCGCGGTCATCAGCCGCAATCAACGTCAGCTCCGGCGGCTCGTCGCTATCGTTGCCGCCGTCAGCACCCTCTGGCGGCCTCGCCAGCTTCCCGTCGACGGCGACCCGGGCGTCGGGGGTCGAGAGGGCGCCGGCGTAGGCGTCCTGGCGGCACTGCAGCAGGCGCGCGCTCTGGCGGGTCTCCCGCGCGCCGGCGTGCTTGCGCTCGGGGTTTCCGTAGTGAATGTAGTAGTTGGCGCTGCGTGCGAGCGACTCCAGCTCGCTCGAGCGTATTGTGTGGTGCTTCTTGTCGTCGGCGCGGGCGCCCGCACGCAGCACACCGACGCCGGCGCCCCCTGCCTCGGCCTCGTCGCGCGCGTCGCCGTAGTGGATGTAGTAGTTGGCGTTCTGCGTGAGGAAGCGCAGCTCGTTGCGGCGGATGCCGCAGCGCTTCTTGCCCGGCACGCTGATGTGATCGGGGATCGGCTGCGCGCGCGTTCGCAGCCCCGGGCTCGCCTGCTCCGCCTGGTGGCCATCGCCGGCGGCGTCCGACGGAGCCTCGGGCGCGAACACCTCGACGGTCAGCTCGCCGGAGCGAGTCCGCGTGCGCATCGCGTGCTGCCCCCTGCCGCCGCCGTCGTCGTCCCCCAGAGCGCGCTGCCGCAGCTGCACGAGAACGTCCGTCTCTAGCTCCTCCTCCTGATGCTGTTGCGCGTCGCCGGGCAACCGCTTCTCTGTCGCCGTGGCAGCAGCGCATCGTCGTGCAAGCTTCGGGCTCGGGGCGCGGTCGAGATCAGAGTCGTAGAACGTGATCGCACGTCGCTTCAGGTCCTTTGTGCAGTACCTGCTGTTCTTCTGTTTATTGCCGCTGTCGGCGGCAGAGGTGGCGTCGCCTGTTGGTCGGAATGCGTATTGTTAGAATTATGCAGAGCAAAACAGAGCTAGATCGAGCAGCAAACAGAGGAGGTGGAACAAACATCGATGACCGCCGCATCAATGACAACCATTGCCACGCATGGAAATTTCAGACAAGCACCGGCATGCTTCAATCAGCAGCAGGTGAAGTTGACTAGGTTCCAGAAGTAGCTGCATGACAAACAGTGACATGGCTTTTTGTCGCTAAAAACCATGCTTCACACAGTACCCAGCATTTCGGTTCCCGCGCACATACACCTGACGCGGTCGACCAAGAGATCACTGAATCGGTACCACATGGCTTCGCACAGCGGCGCGCGGTGACGCTTACCTCCCGCGTGCGGAGAGCTCTCTCGCGACGACACGTTCGAATCGCTTCGCTGCTTGAGCCGGGAGAGTCGCTTGTCTGTGTCGCGTAGCTGATAGACGGGGTTCAACAGGTTCTGGTTGCCGTCGCGAGGTTTAAACGCGCCCGCATGCCTCCTGCAATGTAACACGTTAGCTATAGTACGTAGTAGAGGGAATGGGGGCAGACTAGAGGAAAGACCTCGCTGTAATTAATCGATAAATAAATCCCACCGACTTTCCACAACGACCCATATATCGTATTCAAAAGCCGCTCCTCCATTTCCTTTCCATATTTTGAATTGCAAATTATTTTTGAATCTTATTGTGATTTCTTCCTCCATAGCTAAATCATCTATCAGCGTTCCCTCCACAGCTAACTCCATAGCATAGATGCTTTCTCTATAGGTGCGACACCTATAGACTGGATTCGTATTAGTAGGTCTCAGGGGAGAGATAGTGAATATAGAAATCAGTTAACCCTAACCCTAACCCTAACCCTATCCCTAATTCTAAAATAAAACAAAATTAGCCAAAAAAAATATATTGAAAAAATAAATAAGAGACAAAATTAGCCAAATCAGAGCCGTTCCCCTAGCGGATCACTATCTCTCGGCCCTGTGCAATAATGGATTCGTGATGCAGCCGCTGAAAGGGGTGTAGTATGTTACTAGGCACTTCTAATTTAACATGATATTTAAATTTAATTAAGGGTCCAGGAGGTTAGGGTTAGGGTTCAGGGCAACTTTTTAGCCGGTTTTGCCATCATTCTTTAATATATATGTAAAATAGATGTTAAGAACTTAGAAGTGGCCTAGTTAAAACATCATCCTAATCACCCCTTCAGCCGGTGCGAATTCGTGTATCGTGCCCGAACCTCTCACTATCGTGCTGGCACTCTCGCAGTTTGCAGTTGTTGTCTCCGGGAAGAAGTCTCTTCTTCCGTAGGTAGCAGTTGATCTCCTCTCCCGCTCGATGTCTCGCAGCACCTTCACGCACGCCGTGTCTCTACCCGTCGACACAAACTGTCGCGAGACAGAGAGCGTCGATGACCGAACAGACGCGAAACGAGACGGGCGATCAAAATCTAGTCGCCGTCCGATTCGGTGGCCAGAAATCCGAGTGGTGTGTGCAGGGGCTGCGTGCAGAGGGGGGGGGGGCTGGTCTAGTGCACACCGCGGATTAGAGGGTGTGGATTTGAGTGCGAATGGGGTGGGGCGGGTTACAGGGGGGGGGGGGCTGGGGCGCTACACGCGGATAAGAGACTGTGAGTTGATGCCATGAGGGTGGGGGCGTGCAGGGGGTGGGAGTGGCTGGTGCGCACGACCGGATAGAGGGTGGGTGGAGTTGATGCATGGGGGGTGGCGTGGCAGGGGTGGGACGGTGGCTGGTAGCGCACACGCTGGATGATAGAGGTGTGATTGAATGCAGTGGGGTGGGAGGCGTTGGCAGGAGGGGTGGGGGGTGGCGTGGTGCCACACAGCGGATAGGAGATGTGATTGATGCATGGGGGTGGGGGCAAGTGGCAGTGGGTGGGGGCTGGTGCGCGACAGAAGAGGGTAGACGATGAGGGGGAGCCACTGGGCGGATGAGACGGGTGTGGATATGATGGCAGATTGGGGGGTGGGGAGGCGGTGGCCAGGTGGTGGGGTTGAGATGGGTGCGACGGGTACGCGGATAGAGGGTGTGATTGATGGTAGAGGGCGTGCAGGGGGAGAGGTGGCTGTGCGCCCACAGGAGGGAGCGGGCGGCCGGATAGATGGATGTGAATTGATGACATGGGGGGTGGGGCGTGGCAGGGTGGGGGGTGCTGGGCGGGCGACACGCGGATGAGAGGGTGTGATTGATAGCATGGGGGTGGGGGCGTGCAGGGTGGGGTGGCTGTGCGGCACACAGCGGATAGAGGGTGTGATGATGCATGGGGTGGAGGAGCGTGGCGAGGGGTGGGTGTGGCTGGTGCGCACAGACTGGATTAGAGACTGTGATTGATGCATGGGGGTGGGGGACTGTGCAGGGGTGGGGTGACTGGTGCGGCACACCGGATAGAAGTGTGATGTGATGCATGGGAGGTGGGGGCGTGGCAGGGCTTCGGGGTGGCTGTGCGCACGACTCGGAATAAGAGGGGTGTGATTGGATGCAATGGGGGTGGGAGGCTGCAGGAAGGTGGGGTGAACTGGTGGCGCACAAAGCTGCACGGTCGGCCGCCGCGGCATAGAGGGTGTGATTGAGATGCATGGGGGTGGAGGCTGTGCATGGGTGGGGTGGCTGCGTGCGCTACACGCGCGACCCTAGAGATACGTGATTGGATGCATGGGCGGTGGGGGGCGAGTGGACAGGCGGTGGGAAGGCGTGGCTTGGTGCGCGCAGCTGACCGATAGAGGGGTGCGTGATTGATGTCACGGGGGGGTGGGGTGCGTGGGCGAGGGGTGGCGGTCGGGAGCGTTGTGCGCAGCACCGAGTAGGAGGAATGGGTGATGATGCATGGGGGTGGGGGCGGAAATGCAGGGGTGGGGTGGGCTGGTAGCGCACGACCGGGATAGAGGGTGTGGATTGTAAGCATGGGGTGGGGGCGTGCAGGGTGGGGTTGGCTGGTGCGCACACCGGATAGAGGGGTGTTGATTGATGCATGGGGGTAGGGGCGTGCAGGGGTGGGGGTGGCTGTGCGCACACGCTGGATAGGAGGGTGGTGGGATTGATGGGCATCGGGGGTGGGGCGTGGCAGGGGGTGGGGTTGCTGGTGCCGGCACATCCTCGACGATAGCTGTCTCTCGGTCCCCCGGCGGGGGGGCCGCGGCCCGGGTAGAGAGAGTGTTGTGAAGCGGCGTGGCGCCTCCGGCTGGTCTGTCGCGGCAGGACTGGGAAATAGAGGGTGTGATTGATGCATGGGGGTGGGGGCGTGCAGGGGTGGGGTGGCTGGTGCGCACACGGGCGATGTAAGAGGACTGTGATTGATGCATGGGGGGGGGCGTGGCAGGGGTGGGGTGGCTGGTGCGGCACACTGGCGGATAGGAAGGGTGTGATTGATGCATGGGGGTGGGGGCGTGCAGGGGTGGGGTGGGCTGGTGCCACGACCGGGATGAGAGGTTGTGAATTGGATGCAGGTGGGGTGGGGCGTGGCAGGGTGGGGTGCTGGTGCGCACAGACGTGGAGGGATCAGCCCGCGGAATAGTAAGGTGTGATTGATTGGCATGGGGGTGGAATGGCGTGCAGGGTGGGGTGGCTGGTGCGCAGCACCGGATAGAGGGTGGTAATGATGCATGGGGTGGGGGTGTTGCAAGGGTGGGGCGGAGCTGGTGGCGCACGACCGGAATAGAGACTGTGATTGATGCCATGGGGGTGGGGGCGTGCAGGGGTTGGGGGTGGCTGTGCGCACCACCGGAATAGAGGGGTGTAATGAATTGATGCCATGGGGTGGCGGGTGGTTGCAAGGGGTGGGGCGGCTGGTGCGCACATCCCGGATAGAGGGTGTGATTGATGCATGGGGGTGGGGGGCGGTGTTCAGGGTGGGGTGGCTGGTGTGCACACCGGATAAAGAGGGTGTGAATTGGATGCATGGGGGTGGGGCGTGCAGGGGTAGGTGGCTGTAGCGCATACCGGGATAGAGGTTGTGATTGATGCATGGGCGTGGGGGAGCGTGCAGGGGTGGGGTGGCTGGTGCGCACACCGGATAGAGGGTGTGATTGATGCCAATGGGGGGTGGGGGTGGTGATCCGTGTCGGAAAAGTCATGGGGTGCAATTGGGTGGGGCGGGGTGAATGTGGTGACCCATGGTGGTGGGTGGTGATCGTGGGTGTATGAAGGCACAGTGGTGGGTGACCGCATGTGTAGTGGGGTTGGGATGGGCGCGTGTGCAGAAAGGGCACAGTGGTGGTGACCCATGTGTGGTGGGTGGGTGAGCGTGTGTGCAGAAGGCACAGTGGTGGTGACCCATGTGTGGTGGGTGGGTGAGCGTGTGTGCAGCAAAAGGCACAAGTGGTGGTAACCCATGTGTGGTGCGGTGGTGAAGCGCTGTGTGCAGAAGCACGAGTGGTGGTGAACCATTTGTGGTGGGTGGTGAGCATGTGTGTGCACGAAGGCAAACAGTGGTGGTGACCATGTGGTGGTGGGTTGCCGGTGAGCTGTCGTGTGCAGAAGGCAGCAGTGGTGGGTTGACCCAAATGTGTGGTGGGTGGGTGAGCATGTGTGCAGAAGGCGCAGTGGTGGTGAACCATGTGCGGTGGGAGGGTGGGTTACTTTTTTTTCACGGGAGCTCTTTTTCAAAAGTCTGTGGAAAAAATAGCTGCTCGTCAAAAGATTGTACGGAAGCCTATTTTGGAAGGGGCCTCACGGAGCGATTTATGGGAGGTTTGGAAGAGGGCGAATCCCTGGGGCATCGCTGTGGCCGGGGGTGTATCTGTTTTAACGGGTGGGTGGGGTGACGTGAGGGCTTATCCTGTTGCAGTTGTAAGGCCTGCGAGGTCGGTGGGTTGATGAAAGAAGCGGGGCCGGAGAACCAGCAGGCTGAGCGCCACAGTATCTTCCTGCAGGAGTACGATCAACGGCTGTAATAGGGTCCGTTCTCTCCCGCGTGCAAAAACTGCATCTCCTCCTTCTCCACGACAGCTCGGCGATCACGCCCACCAGGTAGGAAATCTCTCATTCTTGTACCTAACCAGGGAGAGAGCGAAGAGAAGAAAAGAGAAGAGAAGTGAGAGAGGCGTGATAGAGAGATAGAGAGTTGTCAGGGAGAGAGAGAGAGGGAAGAGAGAGAGAGAGAGGAGAGAGAGAAGAGAGAGAGAGAGAGAGAGTAGAGAGAGAGGAGAAGAGAGACGAGAGAGAGAGAGAGAGAGAAGAGAGAGATGAGAGAGAGAGAGAGAGAGAGAGAGAGAGAGAGAAGAGAGAGAGAGAGAGAGAGAGAGAGAGAGAGAGAGAGAGAGAAGAAGAGAGATGAGAGAGAGAAGAAGAGAGATAGAGAGAGATAGAGAAAGAGAGAAGAGAGACGAGAGAGAGCGAGTGAGCAGAGAGAGAGAGAGAAGAGAGAGAGAGAGAGAGGAGAAACATAGAGAGTGGAAGAGGCGAGAGATAGAGTGAGAGAGAAACATAGAGAGTGAAAGAGCGAAGATATGAGAGATGAGAGAGAAGAGAGATAGTGGCATTAAATTACAGATGGACTAGAGAGGGTGGCGGGGTCTTCAAACTTCCATTACACAGGTCACCAGGAGAGACGTCAATGTTCCGACTTACAGAATGTACGACTGAAAAGGAGATATTATTCTTTCCACAGATGGGTGAACTGGGAGGAATACATTATGTACAGAAGAGTGACTGTAAAATCAAGTGAACACATGTGGTGAGGATCACGGCGAGACTCTACGTTCACAACGAACTGTTCTAGCATTCGCTGCGTTAGATTGCGTGAAGACTCACAATCCTCCTGGTCTGATACGACCTTACAAAAATGCTGGGGCCCGTGCCAAAAAAATTAGTCTAACATTAACCTTAAACTTAAGTTTTGTCTCTAAAGCGTTGCAGAAACTTCGTAAAGTTAAGAAAGAATAAAAATTCTCGTAACTGTCTCTTTAACTTAAGAGATACTAGGACCCTCCTTAACTTTAATATTAAGTTGAAAATAACACATTTACACCACGATATACAATTTATAGTGACATTAATATATTTAATAATAATGAGAGTAAAATGTGTGTTTTTCTTGAAAACACTCAAAATCATTAATTATCTGACCGCTAATAAAAACAAAACAATACATTTATAAATGACGTATGGCATTTGTTCTCTTGTTCCAAAGTTTGCAACGGCTTGCCACGAGTTCGTCTGGCAGTCTCGTGTTAAGGCGTGAGAATTTGTCTTGTTGTGCAGGAATTAATTCATCGACCACCGTAAATATTTCATCAAAATTATTATTTATATGTGTTTACCTCATAGATATATGCATAAATTACTGTGATGTACAATAAATGTGTATGGAATTTGAAGTTTTGTGATCGATTCCCAGTCCAATCAGCTAGCCGTTGTGATTGAGTTCCTGTATCGTAAGTTTTTCAACTTAAGTAAGTTTAAGTTTTAAGTTGTTCTGGAACGCTAATTGAAAATTAACCTTAACAATTAACATATGAGACTTAAAAATTTAATTCGTAACTTACAAGTTTCGTGGCAACGGGGCCCCTGCTCTTCCGATCGTGGCATCACAAGCAAGAAACGCAACTGATGTTGGCTTGGTGGCTGTGGTGCAAGCTGCGACACATACAACAGAGGGTTCTGTTTCAGCAACCGAGCCCGCTGTGGTCGCGCTATCGGCTCGAGCGTGCGTTGCGGGCGCGGGCTCCAACCATAAGAATAGTTACGACTACCATAAGTTTGCTTCAAACTCCATCGTACTATGCAGGCGGCGCGCACCTAATTAGGCTCCTAGACCCAGGTTCTTCAGCCTGTGATCCATGACCCTTTGGGAATCGCAATGAGAGGCCGTGATGGCTTCCCGGGGGTCGTCGAACCCCCATATGTACATGCAAATAAATTTTGTGTTTATGTGCTTAATGGTGCATTTTTTCTCGGAAAAGGAGGTCCGCGGTAGCTTATTACCAGATTCTCAAGGGGTCCATGAACTCAAGAAAGGTTAAGAACTCAATTGAGAGACAAGTGGGAGACGATGGACCACTTTTCTCTCTTTAACTGGCCAGGTTGAAGGGAGAGCCCGCTTACCATTTCTTCGGACGACGCGCGCAGGATCATTCTCATGCTTTCCAACCGCCCATCCTCGCATGAAGTATCGGTGCCACGACTGGAGTAGGTGAGCCGCATCCTTGTCAGTAGACACGCAGGTAGTGGCACGAGCTGGCACATAGAAGCACCGGGCGGGCCATCAATAAACAACAACGCTAACGACTTGTCACCAATTAGCATCTCTAGTGCGGAACACTGCCAAAAACACATCACGAAACATCTATCAAAAAATCAAAATATAATTAGAAATGGTTACGAACAAATTTTGCTACCGTCGATCTACGACTGATTACGTGTTGTCCTATCCGCATATTTATTGATTAATCGCCAAATTTATTAATAAGTGCACCAACTACCGAAGACGATATAAGAACGGATACAATTTGCATCTGGCGGTAGACCCTCTGGAAGAATAAGAGTAACAGAGATAGGACAGAATAGCCTACGAAAATTTCTGTGTGCAATCAATTAAGACAAGAGCAAATCAAAAGTGTTCGAGTCGGCGCTTCACAACTGGTTCAAGTTAACAGAGACTGCCAATTCCGATGCTGGGTGCATTCATAAGAAAACCCTTCGGCTATCATCCCACTGACGGTGGCGAGCTAGTTAGCGGTACATGCATCTCGCTGCTGCTGCTGGGGCTTTCGCGCTTCGTGAGAAAGAAGTACCGCTGCCCCAGTCTCCCTCGAGGATGTTGTTGAGAGTCGTCGTGCTCGTAATCCTGGTCCTCTGATGAAGCCCAGCGGACGAGTTCTCCCATCTCCCCCCTCTGCCTGCCGCTTCAGCGGCCGATGGGCCATGCAACAGAGGATGACTGCGGGACAGTTACCGGGGGATGCTAACGACAGGCGCAATGCTTCAGCGACCACCCACGGTCAGTAAGGCAACGCAGCACCATCTCACTTTAGAAATCAACGCGCGGCGGCAAGCTATCAGGAAAGTATCGAGGTACGCTACACGTCGTTAGATACGCGAGGCAAGAATCAGCTGTGGGTCGGACGGGTGCTGAAAGGTCGCGTTTGATGATGCGAGTACTGTGAAACGGCTAGTCGACTTTCGTGGGCAGCTTGATTTTTTCGTTAGCAGCTGTCAAGAACTATTTAATTTTTTCTGTTGTGAACGATGCCGTACCCCAAGCAACCAGCATGGCGGCTCCATGAAGATAGAAACTTTTGATGCGTCGGCAAAACAATGAGGGATTCCTTGAGAAACAGCAAAAGTGCTGGTATAAATATTGTGTGGAGTTAAAATGTTTTCCGGAAAGCTTGGTAAGGGATTACGGCAATCATGTGTCATCTTACAAGGCTCAGCAATGCCGCATCCAAGAACGCCGAAATTACGTCCAGTAACTCACAGACTAGCAAATACCTTCGTGGGCATGCATAATTCGACACTACCTTATGACAAAAATAAACTCTAGTTCTCGCAATTTCACTGCACGTTGTCTTAAAAAGGTATTTTGAAACAGTATCCCTCCAATGTGTGTGCTTGAAATTCTCCGGGATGTTGTTGACAAGTTTTTCGCCAAATCCCAAGCAGACCCGGCAGCGGTGTGCTGCGCGTACATCGCGTACGGGCGCAAGCAAATGATGAGAAGAACAATGTTGACGGTCACTCACCGACTTCAGAGGCTTATTTTGTTTGGCCAACGAGTCTGGCGTTGTCGGGCCAGAAGTGTCCAGTTTTCTCACCGGTCTTTCTGTGGGTTTCAAAGCAAACACCGCAGTGAAATGGGAGCAACTAGAGTTTATTTTGTCATAAGTAGTGTTGATTATGCATGACACGAAGTACTTGCTTAGTCTAGTGACTTCAGGAGGAAAGTTAGCGTTTGGATGCGCAATTGCTGAGGCCTTTATATCATCACGTTTTTTACCGAATAATATCGTCACAGCAAATACAATACAGAAACCATAGACCAGCCTCTCTCCTCCCTGTGTGCTTTTATAGCAGCATCGTTAGCGGTATGCTCGGAGTGCATATGAAACCAGACTGCAGGAATGACACACCCACATTATCCAAGTTTAAGTGCAAACTTCATTGAACCTGGTTGTACCTAAGCATGCAGCTAGTTTGCGAAAGTTGGGTCCAGTGGCAGATTAGAGACAGATAAGATAATATAGCGGCGGATTCTAGCACCGATTCAATATCAGCATGAATATAATCATATATATCCACACCAATGACCATATATAGTTATATTTATTGAATTATTTATTATTTAGTTTATCTAAAGGTAACGAGATACCTATGACTAGTGAGATCTAAGATACGAGTGCGATACTTGGAGTTCATCTTGTCATAAATAAATGTTTATTTATTTATAGGTATAGTGATACCTAGGACTAGTGAGATCTAATACGAGGTGCGATACTTGGAGTTCATCTTGTCATAAATAAATATTTATTTATTAATTTATTTATAGGTATAGTGATACCTATGACTAGTGGCATCTAATACGAGGTGCAATACCTGGAGTTCATCTTGTGTGTGATGAAGCCGAGGTAGGGATCGACGAGTAGACTGGTGGCGATGTCATCGTTCTCACTCAGCTCCCTCGGCGTCATGCTGCCATTGACTGTAGGCATCTCTCCCTTCAACGCACGTGCACATATATGTGATTGAATACTTTCATCGGATCTCTATAGTTCACATAAAAATACGTTTATCTCAGTTAGATCCATAATAAGTTATAATTACTTACAACGACGAAATTTTCGTCAGAGAGATATATATCGGAGAGATGGACGAAAATGTCGTCGTTGTAAGTAATTATAACTTATTATGGATCTAACTGAGATAAACTTATTTTTATGTGTGCACATAGACACAAAGATCTACAAACGTACAACAGATAGCAGCAGTACTGAGGCATCAGACTGCCACTAACCAAAGGGGTCTTTCGTCCCACACGCACAGATGCAATTATATTTCTATAGTTCTACACAATACGCTCTTGATAACATGTATACTGACAAGTAATCATTGATGTCTGATGTCCTCCCCTTTCCCCTTCCCCTCCCCCATTATGCCATTGAACCAGCTGTTTGCATCTCAATCCCCCCCCCACCACTAGATACAAGTATGTTACCCAACACGGTAGATATATATATATATATATATATATATATATATAATCCCCTATTCTGTTTGGTTACACATTTGTATTGCAAGCTGTAGAAACAGCTATTTGCATCTCGACATCCCCCCATACTAAACAAACCTTAAATATAAAACTACCTACAAAAATAATAGAAATGCAAATGTTGATCGCTTATTTTATTTTGTACTGCATCATATTTGATCACTGCTATGCTTAGTTTTGGTGGCTAGTAATATGTATGACAGGTTCGAAGTATTTTCATGTAAATTTTGTTACGACCACATATACACAAATATTACAATACTATCACTATCAGCAATAAAATCCAACTCAGCCTTTGAGCTCAAGTAAACTGCATTAAACTTAATAAATAATAACCAAGGCTAGTGAGTAGTGGGCATTAATTTTTAATAATTAAGGCTTATACAATCCTTTGTTTTTATTCACCCCTAAATATACGGTAGCAATATAAAAACAAGGCGTGAGGAATCGAACACATGCCAGCACAAAATAGTCTAGCATTAACAGACTAACAGTGGCAAATAGGATTGGTAGGTGTCTGGGTTTTACCCAGAATGAGTCAGAGCTGCTGGATTAGACCGTCCACGCAACAAAATCTTACGGCAATAGTAAACGTAAACCTCTAGAGGGTTTACTGCAGTTTGATTTTTCATCGACGATCGTGGCTATGTATAAATTAATAATATAATTCGGTTACTCGTATAACCCTCACTTGTTAACCATGGCAGCATTCAAAGTATTACAATAAAGCCACAACATAAGTGTCATAACGTCAGCCGTCTTTATTTACATAGTTTTGTACGATACACGACTAGCCTCCTGTCTAGTCTGCATAGTACAGTCCGATACTTTTGACATAAACTGTACGCCACATGTACATTATGTACGGTACACATTTAGATCTGTGATTTGTAAATGTATCTTATTGCAAATGCTCTAATTTTGCGTCACATGTGACCCGTTGGCTGGATAGGTGTTGTTGAGGTTTAAACAAGAAGATGGACATCATTAGTAACGACACAATCACCGAGAGAGTAGCAGGGATCAGGCTCAACTTGACCCCACATAACTACACTTTCCCGCAATTAATCGCAAAAACAACCATACCTAAGTTGAAGAAGAAAGATGCCGCTGCAGTATGCACTGGGTTTTGGATCTCCCTATTAACTTAAACACGGAAATATCATCATGACGTGGTTCAAGTTGAGGTTATTTCTTTGCTAATTTCTCTTTACAAGCCGATGATGACGTTTCACACACCAGTTTTCCTGAAACCACACAAAATAGTGCAGAAAATAATTGCATATTATGCGTTATACAGGTAAAAATATGTAATGTAAAATGATAAAATCTTAAGAGTAATATCTCACCAGTATGGGTAAACTTAATAATAGTTGCAATTACTAAATAATATAAAGGAACTGCCTCGCGCATGAATATCTGACGCTACTAGCCAGCGTAGACTGGTCCCATGTCCTTAAAAGTTATCGAGCTACTGCGCATGCGCTCACCACAGCAAGCTAAAACCAGAGCATATAAATCAACGTTGATTTATAATAGCTCTGCTAAAACCAAATACCTATCCTATACATATGTCTTTTTAGATATGTCCATCCATATATTATACAGTGGCGTAATTAGGGAGGGGCAAAGGGGCCCCTTGTCGATAAATTTTTTTTTTTTAAATGGGAAGGAGCTAGGTTGGTTCAATGGTTGACAGGTCAACAGTCCCGGGCCCCCCACTCAGTGTTATTTAGGCTGGGTACGCATATATGCTCGTTCCCTCCCTTTGAAAGCACCCCCCTGTCTCAGGATTGCCAAAATTTCTGAACCCCCCTTTCGCGGGCTTTTTGCGGGTTTTTCCTGCCTTGGAGACCCCCTTAAATCCGGAACACTGCTCCTAATCGGGAACTGGGGGGCAATATTTTTACTTTCAAAATGAAATAATCCTGAATGATCGAGCTTTCCAAACTAGCAGGAATTTCAGGAATTTGATCCCGAGATTTGATAAAGTTTTCTATGATATTCTAGATGAAAGAGAGAGATGAAAACCACACCTTTTTTAAAGAAACCTCCGGGTGAAAAGTCAAAATTAATACACCCCCTTTTTTACAATTCTTGGGCCGGATTTTGTCGCGCGAAAAATACCCCTTTACCGAAGATTTTGGGAACGCGCATGCGGTCCCTCCGACCTCGGAGTGGGGGGCCCGGGTCAACAGTACACATGACCGACGCCCTGCCCCAAGGACTAGTCTATATAGATCTATGGGCCTTGCCCTGCCCCATGGCTTGGAAGCGTTATTTTTATTTGTGGCACAGAATGTCCAATCCTATATAGCTCTAGAACTATAGCCCTCCGCTCCGCCGCAGGCCAATATGAACACCTTTTTATTGGGACAGGTCAGGTGTATTTTAGGGCGCAAAGCGGTTTGCGACAGTGTCAGGGTTTCAAGGTCCCCAAGACACCCCCTACCCAGTTCCGAGACGAGTGACCCCCAACCCCCGGGGGGTTCGGAGATTGGTTTTGTCAAGGTTTGGTGTCATAAAACCGTGTCTGTATTTCTGGCTTCAGCAGTGAGGTAGGGGCTGTAGCAAAAGTGTGTGGGAAGTGACTATACGCACGGCGGCCGTGTGGATCAGATTCAATATGGCTATATACGCACGGCGGCCGTGTGGCGGACTCAATATGGCTAGGAATGAGGAAGGGGAGAAGGGAGAAGCTGGTGGAGAAGGAGGAAGGGGAGAAGGGAGGCGGTGGTGGAGAAGGAGGAAGGGAGAAGCTGGTGGAGAAGGAGGAAGGGGAGAAGGAAGAAGGTGGTGGAGGAGGAGGGGAGAAGCTGGTGGAGAAGGAGGAGGGAAGAAGGGAGAAGGTGTTGGAGAAGGAGGATGGGGAGAAGCTGGTGGAGAAGGAGGAGGGGGAGAAGAGAGGTGGCTGGTGGAGAAGGAGGAGGGGAGAAGGGAGAAGGTGTTGGAGAAGGAGGAGGAAAGAAGCTGGTGGAGAAGGTGGAGGGGAGAAGGGAGAAGATGTTGGAGAAGGAGGAGGGGGAGAAGCTGGTGGAGAAGGAGGAGGGGGAGAAGAGAAAAGGTGGCGGAGAAGGAGGGGAGAAGCTGGTGGAGAAGGAGGAGGGGGAGAAGAGAGGTGGTGGAGAAGGAAGGGAGAAGCTGGTGGAGAAGGAGGAGGGGAGAAGGGAGAAGGTGTTGGAGAAGGAGGAGGGGGAGAAGCTGGTGGAGAAGGAGGAGGGGGAGAAGAGAGAAGGTGGTGGAGAAGGAGGGGAGAAGCTGGTGGAGGAGGAGGGGGAGAAGGGAGAAGGTGGTGGAGGAGGGGCAGAAGCTGGTAGAGAAGGAGGAGGGGAGAAGCTGGTGGAGAAGGAGGAAAGGGAGAAGGAGGGAGAGAAGGGAGCTGGTGGAGGAGGGGGAGAAGGGAGA